CATGAAGAGGAAAAGGAATGGACCAAGACAGGGAAGGCGATGGGGGGAAGAAGCATGAAGGATAACAAACAGTGGAGGTCAACGACCGATACGAAAGCAATGGGTGATATGACATACATACATACATACATACATGCATATACAAAGATATAACCATACATGCATATATACATATGCATGGACAAACATGTATGCATCCACACATACATACATACGTACATACAGACATACATCAACGTGTATACATATATACATGCATACATGCAGACGTATGTACATATATACAACTTACAATCATAACTAGATACATATTTGCATATGCATGTATACATATCTACATATATACATATATACATATACACCTATAATCATATACATACGTATATACATATCTGTATAGGCAGGCAGGCAGGCAGGCAGGCAGCAGGCAGGCAGCTCCCGATGCGCCCGGAAAGGGCGGCCGCGCGCGGGGCCGGGAAGGGGCGCCGGGGCGCCGTTCACTTAACCTCCAGAGATGCATATACTTACCCAGGACGAAAGATTTTCCTCTTGCGGTGAAAATGGCCATGAGGAGTTCGCGAGACAACGTTGGCGCCGCCGAACGGACGGCGACCGGACGAGCTGTTTGCAGCAACCGGGGGGGGAGGGATGTACGTATTCATGTTGAATGAGACAACGTCGGCGCCGCCGAACGGACGGCGACCGGACGAGCTGTTTGCAGCTACCGGGGGGGGAGGGATGTACGTATTCATGTTGAATGGGGCCCGCTCGCGCGGGGAGGTGATGGGAGTGCGCGAGACGACGCAGGGCCCATCGTGGAAAGTTGATTACCCAACCCCCCTCCCCCATAGAATCTTAACACGGGCGGTTTGCGGGGTCCGCGGATCCGATTTCTTCCGGTCCCCTGGTTTAATTTAATGATATAATTTCAAAACAGGGTAGAAATCGGATCCGCCGCAAAAAAAAAAAAAGACCAGACACGGATCCAGCTAATCCGAAATCGGATCCGTACGGACGGAAATCGGATCCACCGAAACAACACCAAAGCCACATTTGGATCCGCGCGAACTTCATGGGATCCGACGGTGGTTATCTCATACGGGTCTGCTCAAGACTTCACACCGTCGTTCCGAACCCAAGAGGAAAAAACTTTCGTCCTGGGGATGTATGTCCAACTCGTTCCCACTCTTGTGCGTCTTCTGCAACGGACATCAAAGTACCTCCTACAGAACTGTGGTTTATATAAGCATGGTTTATATAAACCACATGGCTTATATTTATACAGATACGTACAAATAAACATGGTTTATATACATACATATATACACATATAACCATGTATGTATACATATACACATACATAAAAGTGTAGATATATGTACACAAACAGATGGGCATATACATATGCGTAACCATATACTTGTACATATACAGAGAGATATACATATATAAATATATATATATATACATATACATATATATACACACATAGGCATATACAGATGCATGTGCACATACATTTACATATACATTTTTATGTATATGTACAAATATATACCATACATTGACAAATACATGTACGTATACATATACATGTGCATATGAATGTACGTGCACATCTGCAGAGATGTATACATAAACATAGAAATGCCCATATATATATGGTATTTATAAATATACATATACATTTACGTACACAAATGTGCATACATATGCATGTACATGTACATATACAGATGCATACATCTATACCTGTTTACAAATATGTTTGTATATCAATATACATGTTCATAAACATATGCATATACGTGTACATATACACATACATACATATACATATGGGTTATGGGTGTGGGCTGTCGGGGTCCGGGGGAGGCTCCCGTTCGAGCGGGGATCCCCATCCGGCAACACGCAGCCACAGCACCCATCAATCCCCCGTGTGGATACAGGTGAGTGTTGTTCGTTCGTCACAGGATGGTTGGGGGAGACGGAAAGGGTGGGAGGCGGGAGGAGCAGGAGGCGCGCCCTGCGGTTTTACAAACCAGGGCATTACAAGACAAATCCTTCGCGAATTGAGGCACACGGGAAGCAAAGGAAAGGGCGCGGGGGGGGAGCCGCGGGCGGCGGAGCACGCTCAGACCATGAATATCTTGCACGTGTGGGCAAGCGGACCCAACAACACAGGAGGGTTGTGAAAAACTGGAAACTGCCCCCCCCCGACTCACTGGGAGATGAATGTCGGCAGAATTGTCAGTCAGGCAGGCGTGGGAGCCGCATAAAGAAAGACGACGATCGCAGCCGATGTGAAACGGAGTGGGGAGAGGGGGTGTCGGAGGCGACGATAGCGGCCAATAGCCCAGGGGCGGTCATTACACTCGTTCGCTGGAAGCCTCGCCGAAGACCTTGACCACTGGCGACCCTGGATACATGCATTGCTCCCCTGGGCTGTTCGCACCCATCGTCGCAGGGAGGCGGGCGCGCAGGCAGCGAGCAAGCTCTC